TGTTTGTTTGTTTTTTGTTGTCAATGAAACTTGAATAAAGGGGAATATGCACTGTTAGTTTTTTTAACTTTAATAACTGCACAAATGTATAACAAATTATCAGAGGACACACTCTCTCTTTCACAAGCTTCCAGGTTAATAAAACAGAATATCCACTTTCTGCATTTTACCTGGCATGTTGGTTAGCACTTATCCAAAATGAGTATGTTAAGGATAGAGAGTTAAGGGTTTATACTACAGACTTGGCTGACTCATATCTGGGAAGGGACATCTTATCCTAACTCTTATTTTTATACTTGAAGAGCAGTTGTTCCCATTATCAGAGTAAAAATTCCACCTACAAATTTCTACAGATACAGACTTGGAGCAGAAGCCACAGACCTTTAAAATGCTTATTTGTTACAAGAAAATACAATACATTTTCAGAATCCACAAATATTGAACCAGGAAAGATTATAGAATATAAACTCTATGCCAACAAGACCTAGTAGAGATTACAAACAAAAGCGTCAGGAATATTCCTATTGAGTAAATTATCTTATTATTTAGTTTTGAAACACAACTTAGATATTTTTTTCTCTATTGTCTCTAGAATAGTTTCAAACTCTGGCAGATAATTGGTGAGTGGGAGGGCAGAAAACACACAGTGCGCATGGCAGGGGCACATAGAACTGAAGAGACTGGGAGAAAGCAAGAACAGATTTAACTTTAGGTTCTTTTTGACTATATATATATATATATATATATATATATATGACAATTTGTTAAATGAGAGGCAGTTACATACACCTCCAACATCTCAAATTCTAAGCAGCTGAAATGGCATTTTAAGATATTGCATATGCATTGTAGGCTGTTTCTTCAGAAAGTCATTTTTAAACTCCTCAATCCATTGTCTGTCAAAATGAATGGTAAACAATTTCTAAATTTTTTTCGGGAACATTCTGGTCGTTACAAATTCTCCAAAACATGTTTATTTATCTTCTTTCTAAATATGGAATAAAATGTATTTACAGACCAGTATACACTTTGGTGTCATGGGAAATATATGTTGATTGACTTTCTTTTTCAAATGTTCATGATACCTGATGTCAATATGGAGTAGAGATACATTTATGAAGATATGAGCCTAATTATTATTTATTTTTATTTGTATCTCCAAACTACATTGCTATTATTTTTATACTGATTCCCTTTTAACTGTACCTATGAGGCTTATGCAGTTGAAGAAATTTCCAGGAGGAAAAAGCTACTTTGGTATGCCCTTGCTTGTTTAGTTGTTGTTTTCCAAGAAGGTATTTTACTAGCCCCAAAGGTGTGTGTTTTTCAAATAATTTAAGACTATCCTAGGGCTAGTCAACTTCAGCTTCTTCAGTATTACTGGTCAGCACATAGACTTGGATTACTGTGATATTGAATGGTTTGCCTTGGAAATGAAGAGTGATCATTCTGTTGTTTTTGAGACTGCTACCAAGTACTCTATTTTGGACTGTTTTGACTATGATGTCTACTCCACTTCTTCTAAGGGTTTCTTGCCCACAGTAGTAAATATAATGGTCATATGAGTTAAATTCACCATTCCAGTCCATTTTAGCTTGCTGATTCCTAAAATGTTGACGTTCACTCTTGCCACTTCCTGTTTGATCACTTCCAATTTGCCTTGATTCATGGACCTAACACTCCAGGTTCCTATGCAATATTGCTCTTTACAGCATCGGACTTTGCTTCTATCACCAGTCACATCCACAACTAGGTGTTGTTTTCGCTTTGGCTCCATCTCTTCCTTCTTTCTGGAGTTATTTCTCCACTGATCTCCAATAGCATATTGGGCACCTACCAACCTGGGGAGTTCATCTTTCAGTGTCCTATCATTTTGCTTTTTCATACTGTTCATGGGATTCTCAAGGCAGGAATCCTGAAGTGGTTTGCCATTCCCTTATTCAGTGGGCCACATTTTGTCAGAACTCCCCACCATGACCTGTCTGTCTTGGGTGGCCCTACACAACATGGCTCATAGTTTCCTTGAGTTAGACAAGGTCGTGGTCCATGTGATTAGATTGGTTATTTTCTGTGATTGTGGTTTCCAGTAGTCATATATGGATGTGAGAGTTAGACTATAAAGAAAGCTGAGCGCCAAAAAATTGATGCTTTTGAATTGTGGTGTTGGAGAAGACTCTTTAGAGTCCCTTGGACTGCAAGGAGTTCCAAAAAGTCCTTCCTAAAAGAAATCAGTCCTGAATGTTCATTGGAAGGACTGATGCTCAGACTGAAACTCCAATACTTTGGCCACCTAATGAGAAGAGTTGACTCATTTGAAAAGACCCTGATGCTGGGAAAGATTAAAGGCAAGAGAAGAAGGGGATGACAGAGGATGAGATGGTTGGATGGCATCACTGACTCAATGGACATGAACTCATGTCCATCGGGAGTTGGTGATGGACAGGGAGGCCTGGTGTGCTGCAGTCCATGGGGTCACAACGAGTCAGACATGACTGAGTGACTGAACTGAACTGAGGGCTAGTCAGTTATAAACAAGTCTGCTCTATGGATAAAATTGATGAAAAATTGCAACTCAGCATCTTAGAATGAAAATGAATTGACTGAAGATGTATTTTATAAGGTTTTTCAATTCACTTTTTTAATTCAATATTCCCCATTGGATTTTTTGAGAGTTAGAAAAGCTTTAAATTCTGAACTAATATTATTCAAATGAGGTCAAAGATTCAAAATACTTTTCATTATATTTTAAAGGTAGTTGTAGTCCTTGAAGAAGTCTAAAATCAACAATTGACCAAAGTTTACAGAGATCGCTTTTCTTATCAGGGGAATAAACTATATTTGAGTTTGATGTCATTTCCCACTTTGGAGTGACCACCAAGAGTCAAATGACTTATCTAAGACTTGGCAAACTTTTTTTCTGTTAAAGACCAGATGTAAGTATTTTTGACTCTGTGGGCCAACTGTTGTAACTCCTGACTTCTCCATTACTATTACTCAGAAACAGCCATAGACAATAAACCAGTAGGCTTGACCATGTTTCAATAAAACTTTATTTACAAAAGCAGGGGGTGGCTACATTTGGCCAATGGATCAGACTCTGACTTTGCCTTAAAACTAAATGATCAGAAATTAATCATTCACTTGAAAAAGTCAGATTCATGGCTAGCATTTTATGAAAACAACTGTTTTAATTCAGATGTTTGTTGAGCATCACAACTAGTCTTTTGCCACATTGTCAATACATCCAATTTTCTGACTGAATTGGTGACCTAAGATAGTCATAAAAAGTGGTTGTAAAAATAGAGGTTTTGATTTCCTACATGCTTTCATGTCTTTATAATCATCATTATTACTCTTTCAGATTTCTAAGTTACTTACTGCTGTCTGACAGAACAGGTCTCTTCTCTTTCTCTTTTCCGTGATTTGTTTCATCAATCAACAGCTCAATACAAAGCTCAGAGGGACAGAATCCACTCTCAGTGTTTAAAACCTTCCTGGAAAGAGTCTTTACCCACATGAATTATTAAAATACGGGTGCAAACAGAGAAAGCTACTCAAGTACACATGCTCCATGGTGAAGGTATCATACTGAAGTTAATTTACAAAATAAACTATGAAGAACAATTTTGGAAAAAGAAAAGCTTTGTCCTTTATATATGGTTTTACAATGTAGCATCATTTGATTCACAGCAGTATGCAACCAATAATACATCAACTTTAATGGTTCTGCTTACCTCTTTTCTCCTCTCTTGATATTACTAGGAGGTAGAGGGTTCTTTATTTGCATTTTCAGCTGCATAAAGAGCCTGTTTAGGGCCTTTTACCAGAATCAGTTGAGAGCTTTAGCTTGTTTCATTGGACGCCTAAATTACCACAGCTTGACGCTCTCCTTATGCAGACTGTGACAGTATTTTCTTTACTTTATCATCTTGTTATCCCTTAAAGTGTACTTTGCCCACTTACATTAGCAGAAACCAATTTCCTTCTTTCACTAACAATAGCAAAACAAATCTATTAAAACTTCTACAAGAGTAAGTAAAGAAGATCTACCAGGTAGCTTAAACTAAGAAAGGCACACTTTTCACTGTTGATTTAAACTCTTCCTTTGCCTACATTTCATTTACCCTCTATGTTGCTGGCAAACAAAGAAATATTGGAGAGCACTTTCTGTGTTTCACTTATGGTGCAACACATTCTATATCCAACTCTAACCCACATCTCAAGATGTCAGATCCACCCCGCATCAAGAGGTCCATGCTTTGATCATCAGCTACAAGTCTAATAGAAGAGAGAAACAATCCATAGCAATGGCAGAAGGGTAAGCACACGTAGCTTTAATCATGGAGAAACGACTAAATCCTATTCACCACAGGTGTGTAGGTTTATGTTACCAGCATCTGCTGTGAATCACATTAAGTTATTATTTTCATTCTACAGCATCAATGGGTGTTTATGGAAATAACTGTACACTATAGAATTTTGATTGCACAGAGAGGAAAAATAGTTATTTGGAATGCAATTTGCAATATTTCTTTTTCATTGCCTCTCATTTGGCAGCTTATCCTACTCAGATATTATCATCAATATGCCATACATAAACTTACATTCATCACTCGTACTTAGGCTTATTAACGAAATAGCAATTATATTATTGTAGGAGGATTATGGGAATGAATACAACTGTATTGCAATGTTTCCTTCTTTACAGCACAATGTGTTTTTTTGTTATTGTTGTTAACAACAAGCCACAATGTAAACAATCTGTCTGAAAATATAAGATGTGTCATTGAAGGCTAAAGCAGCATTTTTATGAATATGCCCATTTATAGACATTCTTTTATAAAACTTCCCAGCACAGCATGTTCTAACATCAATTTATATTGAACACAAACTCAACAGAAGATTCAACTATTGTGTATACTTTTGCAAATTAACTCTTTGATATGATGCAGAAACCCACCTCTATTTTTAAGGAAATTTTTAGAGTTACTAGTACTTACTAAAATGGTATATAACGTCCCCTCAGACACTAACGGTAACTTCTGGCACAGCTTAGTAGTCCTTCCTCTCTCTGTTAATGCTCCTCCAGAAGGGACCCAGACTCCTTGATTTCAGATCAGCGGGGAGCAGAAGAAAGACAACCAACTTCTCAGCATTACAGCACCACCACAGTAAGTTTGTCCATCCTATTGGTATTCTCTTGATGATGCTTAGTACCTGTAACAGGGGAAAGTCCATTTTTCCCTTATGACAAATTTCTGAAGAGAGTCCAGAGGGAATATCCCTGCCTGCCACCCAAATAACTGATGCCGTGGGCTAGTTTTCGGAGTCCAGTAGGGACATTTCTCACAGACTGTAACATCATGGTAGATTCATTAAAATGGACTCCTTAAGGCTAACAGATAATAGTAGCATCAAAAGGGGCCACATTTTTCTTTTCTTGTAAGGACAGAATTGAAAAAGGGAGCCTGAGAGCTATAGTTTATGGGAGTAAAACTAGCCTTTTTTTGATGAAAAGCGCAATTCCCTAATGGGCTTCCCAGGTGGCATCAGTGGTAAAGAACCCGCCTGCCAATGCAGAAGACATAAGAGACAAAGGTCATAAGATCCCTGGGTCAGGAAGATCCCCTGGAGGAGGGCATGGCAACCCACTCCAGTATTCTTGCCTGAAAAATCCCACGGACAGAGGAGCCTGGCAGGCTACAGTTCCTGGGGTCGCAAAGAGTAGGGCATGATTGATCATGTCCCTAAACTGATACAAATCCCTGTTTACTTTGCACAAGTAAACACAGCATAAGAGTCACTTATTGGGGGAGGAGAAACATAACACTCATGAAATCCTCATTTGCTGCTACTATACTTGTAAATAGTAAGTTATAATATTTGGAGTTATGGAAGTCACATTAAGTATTTTCACTTGAATTAACTAGGCTTACTGACATAATTGCCATTCTGACTTAATGGAAAATATTGAAGGCAGAAGGAGAAGAGGGTGGCAGAGGATGAGCTGGTTGGATGGCATCACCAATTCAATGGACATGAACTTGGGTAAACTCTGGGGTGTGGTGAGGGACAGGGAAGTCTGGCATGCTGCAGTCCATGTGGTCGCAAAGAGTCAGACTAGACTTGGTGACTGAGGAACAACAAGGTGCTTTTGTATTCACTATATAATGACTTCATAAAGCAGTATTTTGTGACCAAAGGTGGGACTGGATATCAGGACCAGCCAATAAAAAACTCTGGCTTTCTATTCAAGTTTCAAGTCACTGAATCTGGAAAAGTTTTTCACTCTGCATCACTAGAGCTACAACTCCCATCCTAGTGATTCCTCAGAGGAGATAAGAATTTAAGTTCAGATTTTTAATAAATCCTAGAAGTCTTTAAGAGGAAAATAGGTCTATATAAAATGATAATAAATTTGTATTTTCTCCATTTATATTTAAAAATCATAACTGCAAACTTGCATTTTATTTCAAAACTGTGTCACTGCTGTGTGGTGCAGATGTGGGGCTGATGTTCCCACTATTAGCAAGAAATGATTCATTCTCCACACGTGATATTACAATCCTGTCTGTTTACTCTTTGAAAACTGCAAAATCCTGCTGACTTTTCACACTTTTTGAATAGAGGAAGACATATACATGAAAAATAGTTATCACTTCTTAAAGAAGAGTTGTAGAATATTGACTCAGAATAGCTTTTCTCCAGAATGACTTTCCTTCAACTTTAGGCTGATTTTTCTTTCAGCTCTCAATTAACAGAATTGATTTAATTTATAATTAAATAAGCTACTTGAAGAAGACTTTTTTTTTAATAACCCCCGATTGCTTAGATGGTTGAGTGCTCTACATTTTTCTCCTGATAAGTATTACGTATTTTTACCTTATTTTTATTCAGAGATTTCTGCATTGCGTGCATGCTTAGTTGCTCAGTCATGTCTGACTCTTTGAGACCGTTTGGACTATAGTTCTCCAGGTTCCTCAGTCCATGGGATTTTCAAGGCAAGAATATTGAAGTGAGTTGCCATTTCCTCCTCCAGGGGATCTTCTCCACCCGGGGTTTGAACTTGTTTCTCCTGTGTCTCATGCATTGCAGGTGGATTCTTAACCCACTTTGCCTTTGGGGAAGTCCTCTACACTTTTCTCCTAATAAATTTTATGTGCTTTTACCTTATTTTTATGCAGAAATTATGACTCACCAATATTTAAGGAAAAACATAATTTTTTATATTTTGTTTTTAATATGTATGTTTGTTTAATATGTATGTTTGTTTAATATGTATGTTTGTTTTTATATATGTATGATAAATGAGATTCAGTTAATATTTTATATTGAGTGAATTTCTTCCATGAAGAAATTCTTTATCTGAAAGCAAGATTTTGACTCCACACAAAGACAAGTTGAAAGTGAAAGTGTTAGTCGCTCAGTCGTGTCCAACTTTTTGCGACCCTGCAGACCATAGTCCACCAGGCTCCTCTGTCTGTGGAATTCTCCAGGCAAGAATACTGGAGTGTGTTGCCATTCCGTTCTCCACGAGATCTTCCTGACCCAGGGATCAAAACTGGGTCTCCTACATTGCAGGCAGATTCTTTATTATCTGAGCCCCAATTGCATATATCTTTGATTCTTAACTTGTATATTAGTATTATGATTATCTCTACTAATAAATTAGGAAATTGAGTCAGACAGTGGTTGCCAAGATTTGTATGATTGTAATTGAGAGAGCAAGAACTCAAACTAAGGCCCTTGGGCTCCAAAGTCCCTGTTCTCACTCATTTCCTATATTGTCTTTCTGGGCCATTGGCCTGAGAATGCAGAGGAAAGTGAAGACCATTTCCTCAAGATGAGGAAAGGTGTGCATGTTCAGTCTCTCCAGTTCTGTCTGACTCTTTGCGACCCTGTGGACTGTAGCCGCCAGGCTCCTCTGTCCATGGGACTCTCCAGGCCAGAAGACTGGAGTGCATTGCCATGCCCTCCTCCAGGGGATCTTCCCAACCCAAGGATCGAAACCGCATCTCTTATGTCTCCTGAACTGGCAGGCAGGTTCTTTAGCACTAGTGCCCCCTGGGAAGCCAGGACAGGTGGAGGAGGAGCAGACTAGTGAAGAGTAGGATGAGGGGAGGAAGAGAAGGAAGGAAATGTTTGCCTTTAGTTATACTAGGATTGAGGGGATGCTGTAAACTGAATTGTGGCCCCCTCTGAAAGATGCTCAAGTCTAAACCCAAAGTACTTGTGAATGAGACTGTATTTAGAAACAAATCTTTTGCAGATGATTAAGTTAAGATGAAGTCCTTAGTTGGGCCCTAACCCAATATAAGAGTGATCTTATTGGACTGAGAAATTTGGACCCAGGGGCACAGAGAAAAGGCCACACAAAGATGAAGGCAGAGGTTAGTGTGATACATCTATAGGTAAAGAAACACCCACAAATCCCAGAAAATTACACAAAGCATGGACAAGATACTCTCTCGCAGCCTACAGAAGGAACTACCCATGTCGACACCTTGATCTCAGACTGGTGACTTCCAGCACTGTGAGAAGATGCATCTCTGTGGTTTAAGTTACCCAATGTGGTGCTTGGTTACAGCAACTTTAGGAAATGAATGCAAGGGCCTGTATTCACCAAGTCAAATGAGTTAAACAAAGAGTTATACAAGTGAACCTACATTCAACAGAGATGCCTGGGCTTGGTACTATTTGAATAAGACATATGCAATGAAGTTATATTAAAATAAGGCACACAAATCTACAGTTATTTTTATGAGATCCTGATTTTTAAATACAAAATGACCTATATCTGTACATATTTTTTTCTGTGCAAAATTAATCTCCCATTTTTCAAATTAAGGCTACCAACATGCATGCTCAGTTGCTTCAGTCATGTCCGACTCTTTGTGACCCCGTGGGCTGTAGCCCACCAGGATCTGCTGTCCATGGGCTTCTCCAGGCAGGAATATCAGAGTGGGTTGTAATTTCCTCCTTCCTCCAGGGAATCTTCCCGACCCAGGGATTGAACCTGTGTCTCCTATAGGTCCTGCATTGCGGGTGGATTCTTCATCACTTGAGCTCCTGCATTGCTGGTGGATTTTTTTATCACTTGAGCCCACTGATGCTGCTGCTGCTAAGTTGCCTTGGTCGTGTCCGACTCAGTGCGACCCCATAGATGGCAGCCCACCAGGCTCCGCCATCCCTGGGATTCTCCAGGCAAGAACACTGGAGTGAGTGTTATCTAATCTATCACCAATTAAATGAGATGGAATATTAATATACGGATGTCAAGCACATGGTAGGATTTTCATGTGTGTCTGTTTCTTTACCTTTGTGAGTGGATGATTCATCATAAGAGCTAATAATATTATTAAAAATGTATCAGTATACCCTGAGTCATGACAGGCATGTATCTATCTTCTGTCAGAAGACTGAAGTGTGTGTGTGTGTGTGTGTGTGTGTGTGTGTGTGAAGCTTCTTAGCTATAATCAACAATTTAATTTTAGATGACAGGAGCAGAAAGGATGCTTATTTATTTTTAATGCATTTAAAAACAATTAATTAACTAATTAGTTAATTTTGGCGAGCCGGATCTTCCTTGCTTTGTGTGGGCTTTCTCCAGTCACTGTGAGCAGGGGCTGCCCTTCGTTGCAGAGCACAGGCTCTAGGTTAGTGGGCTTCAGTACCCTTCAGGACTTGTGGCACGCGGGCTCAGAAGTTGCATCACACAGGCCTCGCTGTTCCACGGTATGTGAAATCCTTCCAGACCAGTGATCAAACATGTGTCCCCTGTGTTGGCAGGCAGTTTCCTATCCACTGTGCCACCAGGGAAGTCTAGGGATGGAAAAGATGTTGATTAAAAAGCTCTTCGGCTACATTAAATGACAGGAAAACAATAGAATCAGATCGGTGAAGTCAATGAAATCAGGCTCAACTTACAAAACTATGTTCAAAATTCAACTCAGTAAGAAAATGACTGTTCCCCTTGTCTACCGTTACCAGGAGTCATGGCTTTCTCCGCTGGCGTGACTTGCATGGTAAACTCAGTTCTGCAGAATTCACCCCTGATGTTTCCCTCCTGGGAGAAAGGTCCATGCTGCCTTTTTCTGATGTCATTAGTTTCTAGGTCAAAGTCAGCACTAACTAGATCACGTGTCTGAGTGTCTGTTACAATCTGGCATATTGAGCCTTTATCATAGAGAATATTCTCTTACTCCCAACACTTTCCTTAAAGTGAAATATTCCCAAATATATCCACACAAAGGACATTTGGATGGCCCATGATCATAAGAATGACAAGCACAGCTGGCAAAGACTGTGTCTTATTCAACTATATAACCCAATATCTAGCCACACCAACCAATCAATAAAATGTAATAGGCAGGCGCTTCCCAGGCCCAGGTGGCTCAGTGGTAAAGAATTCGCCTGCCAATGCAGGAGATATGGGTTTGATTCCTGGTCTGGGAAGATCCCACATGCCATGGGGCAAATGAGTCCATGTGCCAGAACCACTGAACCCGTGTATAGAGCCCAGGAGCCTTAAATACTCATGTGCTCACGTGCTCTAAGGCTCAATCTCTGCCACAAAAGAAGCCACCACAACGAGAAGCATGTGCACAATTAGAGAAAGTCCGCCCAGCAACGGAGACCCAACGCAGTCAAAATAAATAAGTAAATGATTCAAAAAATAAAAACGCAATGGACATTTAATTTAGTAAAATCAAATAACAATGCAATGGACATTTAATTAACATGAAACATGAAGAATATTAATACAGATTGAATGAACTTTTTATAATCCACTTAAGAGTTGTTTAGATAATTTGTATTACGTATTCAAACTTTAACTAAAGATCAGTTTTGAAGCCACCTCAAATGTCATAGTTGGGCTTTTTGTAGATGAGCTGGTTGGTTCTTTAATCTAATACTGGACAACCAATTAGATTGAGATATATATTCAAAAATGTAAGTGTTTTGGTCATTTAATGAATAATTGTGGCAAATTTATTAGAAAAATGTGAAAATTTATTTATTTATT